TTTTTGAATAACTCATACGGTTTTATTTTTTAGCAAATAATCCAACATTAACAACAAAACAACAATATCAAAACAAAACCAACAATTTACCAAAATAAAGGAACAGGCTGAAGCAAAGCTTATTATCGCCTACCCTAAACATGCTTTGTTTAGCAAAGATTTTTATTACTCTACCATGAAATATGGTTGATCTTTGTTCTTTCCAATCATATTTCCTCTGCTGTCTGCAGAAGAATCTTAAACTGAGCTCTGTTCCTTTCTGCTGTGTCCAGGTCCACCGGGTCTTCGCTAAGGGAGCAGCTAGCCTCGAGGGAACCATTCAAAGCGGTGACGCCATTTTATCCATAAACGGAGCGAGTCTGGAGGGTAGAACCCATGTGGAAGCTGTGTCCTGCCTCCATCAGACCAGGTTCTCCAAGCAGGCTGTAGTCGTCATATCGAGGAGTGAGGACAGCGAGCTGAAGATCCAGTCCACTCCAAGAACCTGAGTCCTACAGAAAATAAGTGTGGAAGCTCGGGCTTGATCCAGTTCTGTTGATTTGCGGTTCTGAAGCTTCGTCTCGTCCTTGTTGATGTGGTCGAGTCCAGTCTGGAGGATGAGGAGGAGAAAAAACTATGACTATTAAATCAAGACTGGATCCATCAGTGCTGGCAGGCCGCCCTGATGGACCGGGCCGGTACTGGCTGGATGCTGCTGTTAGAGCTCTGCAGAACTTTCAACATGAGCTGCAGCTTTCTAAGCTAACGGAAGACGGCGCCTCCATCTTCCCTTAAAACAGGCCGATCATTTACCGCCAGTCATGCTGGTTTGGACTCAGAAACAATCATAGGTTCTGCTGCAGCGGAGATAAAGGGAATCAGAAAGCATCTCAGGTTTAACCAAACCGTTTAAACGTTTTTTAAAGGAGCCTCAGTTAGAAAAATGTTTAACTTTAACCATGACATAATAAGAATAAAGCTTTAAATCTCGAGTCTAGAGTCAGGATGCTGCAAATATGGGAGCTCTACCAGAATAATCTGCTTCTGTGATGGTTTGAGGAATCAATAATTTATTTATTATCTGTTTGAGGATCCTGCAGCGTTTTAGGACATTTTTAACAGTTTTTATCAAATAAAAAAAGCTGTTCAGTGATTTACTGCAAAAACATATTAGTCTAAATAAGTCATTCTTTCTTAAAATAAGTGCATTTTTTGTTGAATTGAGTGCCAATGGAACAAGACAATTTACATTTAAAATGAGAAAAAACGTTTGCATTGCCTTATTTTGTGGGGAATGTTGGCATACAATAAATAAGTGCATTTGTCCTTGGATTGAGGAGGTAAAAGAGATATTTTGCAAATGGAACAAGACAATTTACACTTAAAATAAGAAAACACAATTCCATTGTCTTATTTGAAGTGTGTATTATCTAATTATCTTATTTTAAGAGTAAAAATACTCATTCCATTGACAGACTATGTAATTTACCTACTCAAATTAAGAATAGATACACTTAATTTAAAAAATTTTACTTCTTTCTAGATTGTGTTCCAGTGTAGTAGTTAGAGCAGTATGCTTGTGCTCTGCACTGGAAAAAAATCAACATCTAAATAAGCCATCTTTTCTTAAAATAAGTGCATTTTGTCTTGAATTGAGGAGGTAAAA